ATATAAATTTACATTGTTCAATCAACAATATTTTCAATAAAAATATTACTTTTTTTTTTTAAAATAATATATTAAAATATTATTTAAATAAAAATTTAAATTAATTTCAAATTACAATCATTGTTAAATTTATTTCAAAGTGAAGTTTGTAATAACCCTGTAATAACCCTACAATAGGATGAATTATCCCCAAACGCCAACTTAACAATACATATATATATATATTATATAGTCAACCTTATTATCCTATTATTAAAGTTCAATAATATAAGAAATAAATAAAAATATAGCCTCATATTAATTATATGGATTTTTTTTTGTCCCAATATAACCAAAATTCATTAAATTTGGGCCAAATATTAAAATCTTATCAATTTTGGTCATAATATAACCAAAACTCATCAATTTTGGTCCAAATATAACTAAAACTCGTCATTTTTTTATCACAATATAAAATTTTTATCAATTTTAGTCCCAATATAATCAAAATTCATCATTTCTGGTTATATTGGGACTAAATTTTATATATTGGGACTAAAATTAATAAAATTTTTAGGGTAAACTGTTTTTTTAGTCCCGTAACTGGACCCCTTTATCATTTTAGTCCTGTAAGTGGAGTCTGTCGGAAACTAGTCGCATAAGTGAAAAATTTTCGCTGTTTTAGTCCTTCGGCGCCGGAGACGCCCGCGTGGCTCGCCGGAGGTGCCGTGTCCGCCAGGTGTCCCGCCAGGTCAGCGACACCTGGTGGACACGTGGATTTATTTTTTTTATTATTTTTATTATTTTAATTTTTTTAATTGTAACAAATAAAAAAAATACAAATAAAATTTAAAATAAGATTTAAAAAAAATTTTAAAAAATGAAAAATAAATAAAAATCCACGTGTCCGGGTCAACGACACCTGGCGGACACGTCACCTCTGGCGAGCCACGCGGGCATCTCCGGCGCCGGAGGACTAAAACACCAAAAATTCTTCACTTATGGGACTAGTTTGCGACAGACTCCACTTACGAGACTAAAATGATAAGGGGGTCCAATTACGGGACTAAAAAACAATTAACCCAAATTTTTATATTGAGACCAAAATTAATGAATTTTGATTATATTGGGATCAAAAATAATTTTTTTCCTTTATTATATGATATTCTTCTAGTAATGAATTAGTGTGATTAATTATTTGAGAGAGGCTTTAATCATAATAATAATAATAATAAATGGGTATTTTTTTATTGTTTGGACGGTTAAGTGATGTATTAAGGATTATGACAGCGTTTCGATAAAGACACATGTTAAGAATTTAATAAGTATAATTTTTTATATGCAAATTAAACGAAAATAGTTACTGTGCTGATTAATTTAAAATTTCGATATAGTATCGATAATATATACGATAATATATATAGTAAAAAGATGGGTATTACACAATATAAATAAAAATAATTAATGGAATGTTAAATAAAAATATGTAATCGTGTTATATGAAAGTAATATATGTGATGAAATCAACTATATAATGTGTTGTCTTCGACCATTACTTGTATTGTTCATTTTATGTTAATATAATCTAAATACAACACGTGTATAAATAATATATGTCATAGTAAAATATAATATAATCTACAATTGATTTTGACACGTAAAATGTATTTATACAACACATTTACATATTTTTATTTAATACAATATATATATATTGTGTTAAATAATAATTTTTTTTTCTCGCTAATTCTGAAAATTACAATTTGGTCTAATTGAACCAAGAAAACAAATGTTATTTTCTTTTAAATGAAAAAAAAAGGTGTCATTAAAACAAATTATGTGGGCGACACCAAGTCACGTATGCGCCATTGGGGGTAATAATTCGGGTCGACTCGGTTTTTTAATGTCGGGTCAGCCCATTTTTTTCGTTCCGGGCCAGTCCGACTCCAAGTCGTGTTGGCCAGCACAACCCGATTTGCAATCGGGCCTGAAAAGGCCGAACCAAGGACGGTCTGTTTTGAAACTGAGTCTGTTATAATTTTTTTTTTATTTCAAATATTAATATATACAAATTTATTAAAAGTTAAATTGTATTAATTTTAAAAATCGTGTCGGGCCAAACACGGCCCGAACTACATGAGCTCGGACACGGCCCGGTTCATTAGCGTGCCGGACCAGGCGCGGCCCGAAAATTATCGAGCCTGATTATGGAGGCCCAAACAAGATTTTTTTGTACCGTGTTTGGACTGGACTTTCGGACCGTGCTTATTTTTGCCACCCTGCGTGTTGTCAATTCTGGTGCAAAAGGACAATACTATAATTGTTATTTTTTTTTTTAATTATGAAACTATTTTCATATATGATTTATTTACAACACTAAAATAATAAAAAAGATACTAAAAAATAATTTATCCAAAATTTTATTGTGTAAATAACAAACGTGATGCCAATAACGAGACCATGATCACTTTTACTGCTAAGTTAATTACCAATTCATTAACAAAAAATAATATAAAACTAATCAGTTGTAATAAAATTTGTTTGTTTGCAATTTATCATTATTTTTATAATATGTACGTATTTTATAATAAATGGAAAATCCTCCAAATTACATTCAATATTATTGTTATGTTTTTATATAAAATATTTTTCATTATATACTTTTTTTTTTGTTTGTTCGGTAAATTATATAGGTGTGATTGTGTATAAAAACTAAAAAATAATAATATTTTAATATTAAAATAAGATAAATAACAAGTGAGGTATTATAGAAAATTTATTAAATTTGATAAAAAAAAATAGTGATGTAAATAAAAAAATAGTGGGAATTTTTTATTATTTGTTACAGTATAGATAATAAAACTAAAAGTAAATAAAATTGTTTACTATAACAAAATCATGCATAAATTTAATAAACAAAAAAATTATTATATAATTTTGATGAACAAAGGAACTGAAGGAATATATTTTTATCTTTATTGGTTGACATATAACATGCAAATACTTTTATCTTTTAACAAAAATTTTCAATATATATATATATTTTTAAAAATTAATATATTACACACTTTTTTCTTATATTATTTACGTAATTTTTTATATTTTACATAAAAAAAAAAAAAAAAATCCAAATACACAATATATGTTTTGATTAATAATAGTGTACTTATGGAGAACAAATTTAAATATAAACACTTCTTTTGTGTAGAATTAAAAAAGAGCATTGTGTTTTTTTAAATTAACAAGTAAGAACAAAATTTAAAGTATAATAATACTTTAGATAACAAAATATATAATTAATATTTTTAAATATTAGTATTTCGTTTTTAGTTTTCGACCCAAACAAGATTTAATAAATAAAATTCAAGCACATCATGTATTAATAGGAACCTCTTGTCTCTTACAACACAATCTTCATTCCAACATTTGGAGGCAAAAATGGAGGAGGCTAAGGTTGTCCTGATATCTTCATGTCTTGTTAAAAGGGATTCTTTTTTTCCGAGCCGAATCAAGCCGAGCCGATCGTCAATAATCTCCAGAGTCGAGTTCACTCACGCTACCGCGCGTGTGTGTCCGTTTCCGACATCTCGGAACCGAAGTACGTGCCCGAGATAGTTTCTTGTTTCTTACAATATTAATTTAGTCTATAGAGTCTGTTTTATACAGCCTATATATACACCTTTTATATTAATGATCAATAATGCAGTTTTATAGTTTTCATAATTTATTTTAACATTCTCGTCGAGCAAAGCCCCGAACTACGAAAGGGTGTCGAAGCCTTTGTTAGCCGTACAGGTCATTGAGCTCGCGAACGGTTTGTTTGTTGGGTGCAATGCGAATCACGCCGTCATAGACGGTGAATCATTTTGGAATTTCGTTATTTCGTGGTCGGAGATGTCCCGTGGTTCGGAGACGAGTTCGAAAACTCCGGTTTTTGATCGTTGGTTTCCCCACAATGTTTCGGATACGAATCGCCTAATCCATCTCCCGTCAATGGATTGAAATCCGACGCACACATTCGCTCGGCCTCCGCTACGCGAAAGAATTTTCCACTTCGGTGAGGGAAGATTACCGAAACTTAAAGCCAAGGCGAACTCCAATCCAATTCCGGAATCAACAAAATCTCGACTCTACAAGCGCTCTCCGCTCTTATATGGCGAAGTGTCGAGCGTTGTCAATATTAAAAAAGTGTCGACAATGTCGATCGAAGGAAGTGGGAATCGCGCTTCGTATTATTATATAGTGAGTGTAAGAGCAAGAATCCCATTGGAAGAATGGTAGTTTGGGAACAGGGGGTATGGCGCGAAAATAGCCATCGATGAGCACGAGCTCTTGCAAGATGGGGTCGGGCTCGTCACCGTGATGATACATGAATTGGTTAGTCGACAAACTACCGAAGAAGCGATTAAATTCGTCGAAGATTGGGTCGAAACGCCGTTAATGCCTAAGAAGGGGAACATCGATGTTTTGATAACCGGTTCCCATAGGTTCGACGTCTATGGCTGCCGGGTGGGGAAAATTAAACCGATCGCTGTGAGGAGTGGAGGAAAGAAAAAGTTCGATGGGAAGATAACGATTTATCCGGCCGCTCAAAATGGCGACGGCGAAGTTTGCTCGGCGCCGGAGACGTTGAAGGCCATGGAGGAGGATGAAGAGTTCTTGGAAGCATTTTGCACTTGATCATCTTTTAGGGTGTGTTTGCTCATACAGTGATGCCGTTTGATACAGAGAATAAAATCATAGATAAAAATATAAATATATACACACTAACAAATATATTCTTACAATTTCAATATCTTACCAACATATTTTTTATTAACTTTTATGTAATAATTTACCTTACTTTTTACTTACTCCATTTTTACATAAAAAGTCGGAATTTAGGGAATAGTTATTACAACATATCGTTGACTACTTCAATTAAATTTATTAGCACCCGAATCCTCTTAATTTGCACAACTTTTTCATCTTCTGTAAGTTTTAGTTCCAACGATCAACTGCTGAAAAATCTGATCCTTTCAATGGCGACCGTCGATGTTATATCGTCCTGTCTTGTACGGATGGCCGGAAAAGATAACCTCCGGCAGCCTTCGACGCTGACAACGTTAGACCTAACTCCATGGGATCTTATCCACCTCTGCCAAGACCCTCTTCGAAAAGGGCTTCTCTTCTCCAACTTCCCCGCTCGACACTTCATCGATCTCCTCAAAAATTCACTCTCCGGCGTGCTCGATTTCTTTCCGCCGCTCTCCGGCCGCCTCGCCGTCGCAAATCACAACGACGGCGGTGGCTGCGTTTCTTACTTCATCAATTGCAACGATGCGGGAGCTGAATTCATACACGCCGTCGCACGTGGCATGTCCGTGTCCGATGTTGTCGAGCCCAAATACGTGCCCGAAATAGTGCCGTCGTCTTTCTTCCCGACGAAAGAAAGTCTGAACTACGAAGAGTTGTCGAAGCCTTTGCTTGCGGTGCAAGTGACCGAGCTCGACGACGGCTTCTTCCTCGGCTGCGCCGTTAATCACGTCGTCGTCGACGGAGCATCGTTTTGGCACTTCTTCAAATCCTGGTCCGAAATTTCGCGCGGCTTGGAATCGATATCGAAGGCTCCTGTTTTCGATCGGTGGTTCCCGAGCAACGTTAGCGACGAAAATCGCGCGATCCGTCTCCCGCCGTTAGATCAAAATCCAACGGTCAATCCGGCTCCTCCTCTGCCATTGCTCGGAAGAGTTTTTCACTTCAGCAAAGAGAGTTTAGCCAAGCTAAAAATCAAAGCCAACACGAAACCCGGTTGCGACGGAAAAATAAAAATCTCGACATTTCAAGCTCTGTCAGCTCATCTATGGCGAGGCGTCTCGCGCTCACGACACTCGGAAAGTGTAACTAATTCAAAAGAGCCGCAATTTTTTACGCTAATAGTCGATGCGAGAGCACGAGTGCCCTTGCCGGACGGCTATTTTGGCAACGCCGTTTACGGCGCGAGCGTTGAAGTTACCGAGCACGAACTTCTACACAACGGGCTAGAATTTGTCGCAGGGAAAATCAACGAATTGGTTAGTCGACAGACGAGGGAAGCCGCGATCAAGTCCGTGGAAGATTGGGTCGCGACGCCAGTGATCGTGAGGAAGGGGTCTTTCAAATTTCTCATCACCGGTTCGCCGCGCTTTGATGTCTACGGCTGCGATTTCGGATGTGGAAAACCGGTCGCTTCGAGGAGCGGCGGAAATCAAATTTTTGATGGGAAGGTGACCATTTTTCCGGCGGCTCGATGTGGCGGCATTGATGCGGAAATTTGCTTGTCGCCGGAGGCGATGAAGGCCATGGAAGACGATGTCGAGTTCATGGAAGCGGTAACCATTTAGATCGGAATAAAATTGCTTGTATTTGATGTCGTTTAGTTCGATTTTTTCTTGACACAGTAGCAACGAGTGAAGAAAAATAAATTAAATGTACAACAGAATGATAAATTTAGAATTAAGATGAGATCTACTATAATTATGTAAAAAATTATTTTTACATTAAAAGAAAATTGGGGCCAGCCCCTAGTCCCTATGTAGATCCGCCACTAATAAATTATGATATTAAGGTATGTTGAAGACTAAGTTTTTGGTATTAAGGTATGTTGAAGACTAAGTTTTTGGCATATTTATCTTGTAACATTGTAACAATAGAAAACTTATGGCCGCGAGGTCGGCGCCTTTATAATTTGATTGTCGCATATAATTTGTTTAGTGTGAATTTTTTTTTTTTTATTATTATTGAAAAAAATTGAAGCATAATGTCAACTTGAATTTCATATTATGCACTTGTCATCGTGAGATTATAAGTTTAAATTTGTCAAAAATATGTGCGGACATAAATACTATGTAACTCTTGTTCTGTAGAACCTAATTTGCAGAATAATTCTCACTGTCTTAAAAGAAAAATAAAGAAAAAGTGTATTCACTTCACACCAAAGTATGTAAATATTCATAGAAATACATCCATGTTTGAGGACATGCATAATGATAGGACCGTTTAAATAGATGTTTTGGAGCTTCTGTTAAGAGAGTTTCATAATTTTCACACATTTAGTCCTCCTTCAATGTCTATATAGCATCTGCGTGGAATGTCGGCGGACACATGTCAGCCAGATCAGCACCGCCACGTGAACAAGTTTTAGTTTTTTAGTTTTATTTCTTTAAATATAAAAAATAAAAAAAATAAAATTATATATAAAATAAAAAAAATTATCCATATATCTGTCAAGTCAGCGCCAATTTATATATTAGTATATTTTTTTTTAATTATATTTATTATATTAAAATATAAAAAATAAAAATTATTCGCAAACCGGCCACATGGTACTAACCTGACCGACACGTGGATAGTTTTTATTTTTTATTTGATTTATTTTAATTTTTTTTTAATTTCATACTTTATACTTTATATTTTTAATTTTAATTTTATATTTTTGTATAAAATAAAATAAAATAAAATAAAAATATCCACGTGGCGGACACGTGTCCGCCACATAGGGCTGATCTGAGCGACATGTGTCTGTCGGAATGCCACGCAGATGCCACGTAGGCATCAATGATTAAACATGCGAAATTTTTCTAGTTACGGAACTATTTTAAAATAACCTCCAATAAAGAGACTAAAACAAAAAAAAGAGTCATAACGGAACTAAAAAAACAGATTACTCCTAATATAATGTTTTTAAAGAAATTATTAAAAAAAATAGTACAGCAAACTTCAAAATGTTTATATAAACAGCCATCGTTGCTTATCAGGTGGTCATACTTTAATTTCGCCTTATTATTTTATTCACAAAATTTTAGATCAACGCTAAGAAATTATCATTTTGCACTTATTTTGAGTATCGTATCATGTGAACATTATACATGGCGCGAGTTCAAAGGCCTTAAGCAAAAAATATCGAATCCCTATTTATAATATTATTGTTTTTCTTGTTCTAAGAGAATTTGAAAAAAATAAAATATTTAAACCTTGAAAATTAACGGTTTGTTTTGTTTTGTTTTTTTTTTTTTTTTTTTTATAAACTTGGAAAAATTTTGCTTTTGGAAAACACAGAGTCCAAATAGTAGAAACTTGAAATTTTGGGAGTAAAGAAAGACACCCTAGTATTTGCTCTTTTATTAAAGTCAAAGATAAGATATATGACTATTCGAATGACCAGTTGTGAATGTGGAGAAAGGCCGACAGTGATGTTGCGGAAATAATAACAAAAATAAAAACACACAAGAATATTGCTAGTATGCACACAACTGCAAAATAAATATCAGTTGTTATGTCACAGAAAATGCAAATGCAATATAACAGTGGTGAGTAAGATTGTCTCAGAGAAACAATAATGATTTGATAACGCTAAATAAAGAAAGGGGAATAATTCAAATAGAAAGAAAATATATTAAGCTAAAATATGACCAAATACCAATTAAATACTCTAGCCTATGCACTAATTTTTTCGGGATATAAAAATATGTTCATCGACCGTAATCAAGTTTATTAATTTATTAGATAAATTGGTTATAGTTAATCTACACGCATTCACAATCAAACATTTCCTTACTTTCTTATAGTTAATATAATGTTTCCTTACTTCATCACACTCTTTTTAATTTCTCAATCTTAATCCTTTTTTCAATTTAATATCCATAGTCTTTAAATTGTCAATTTACCTCGGGGCCTTTTTATAAATTATCATTTTTTCCACACTACCGTCTCCTTAGGCGTAATCACGCCTAAGACTTTTCTGTATTCGGTTTCTTTTGTCCATCATATGCCCAAAACTTTTCCAACTCCACATAGCTTAATAAATAACCCAAAACACATCATCATGTGTATATATAAAATTTCACATCCAAAGATCACCCAAAAAATAACAAATATTATAACTTATAGTTAAAAATTTGTTGATCAAATTGGATGTTTACATTAGTTACAATTCAACGAAATGACAATTTTTGGGTGCAAACCCAATTTCTATATAAACAAATTCCAAAAACAAATTCGTGCGGGCTCAGCCCAAAACGGACAATATCATACTAGTGTTGAGTTGACCCAGTCCCAGCAGTACTATTAGAGTCCGGTTCAAACCTAAGCCCCACATTGGAAGTTTTGAAGAAAATTTCACATCTTATAAGTCCCATATAAACTCCATTAGTATGAGACCTTTTGGAGAAAATCCAAAATTAAATCGGTGTGGACTCATCCAAAATTAAATCGTTGATTAAAAACTTTCAAAGTCTCTGAAATTTGTTAATTCATAACAAAAAAAAAAAATAAAAAATACAATACCTAACAAATCTTATAAATATACTGTAAGATAATAGAAATTAGATGAAATGAGTATGATATTTATTTTATTAATATATAGAATTAAGTGATTTATTAATTTACTGGGCTTAAATGTATTTAGTCAGTGCGAGCCTCTTATGTGCAGAAACCCGGTAACTTATTAATTGGTTGATGATGCCAATTAATAATAAGGGATATAAATAGGGTTGTGATCCCAGGTCTAGACACAATAACCATTACGTTCCATATCTCATCGTGGGAGTAACGGCATAAACCCTAGCGGTTTTCTCAGGAACGGTTGCGCCATAGGCTTGAAGAATACAAAACCCTCAATTGTTTGTAGATTCGAATCCGACTATGCTAATGGAATAAGGTTAGACATAATTTGCTTTATTTCTATCTCAATTATTACAAAATTGTAGATTCTGGGCTCTGATAAGTTCCAACAGTTGGTATCAGAGCCTTTTCGTATTGGATTATTGAGATATTTTATTTATCAATGGATAGGAATCAAATTGGTGTGAATTTTTATTATAAGTTTGTCGATACATTATATCCTCCTGCCGTTGCGTTTGTATTTGCTTCTTTGCAATCGATGTATATGATTATAGAATCATGATCAATTTGATATTCTAAGATATCATAATATGTCATTGAATTTGAGAACAGACACGAATCCATGCCCATTAAAAAGGTTCTGCATGAATCCATATATTATTGGAATGAAATTGTTGGGCTTTGTTTGTTTATTTATTTATTTATCTTGATCACTGCGCTGGCATTTATGGATTAAATTCACTTGTTTGATCAAAATCGTTGGCATGGAGACACACATTATATTTGTTGCACAAGTTGATGTCTATTTATATTTTTTATACTATTCATAGACGTCTATTGCAATTAGACGATTTGATATCCATTTAGATTGCTTTTAATTTTTAATTTTTATACTATTATTACATATATATATATATAATATTTTATGAATCAAAGCAGCCGTATTAGATTATGAATATGATTGTGTATGTGCATGTGTTCATTTGTATACATGTTTGCATGCATGTGTACTATGGTAAATTAATTATGTGTAAAATTATGTTTATGCACATATGTTAAAATTCATGTTGATTGAAGTTCAATATATATATATATGCATTCGGTTTAATGATTGTAGAATTTATTAATTTATGTGTGTATGTTATTAAATTTGCAATTAAATTTGATATATGCAGAATTTATTTTTTTGTTTATTAGTGTTGATTTTATAAAATCGAATATTCATTATGATTCGTTTGATAGTCCAATTAAATTTGGATTACATCAGCATGTATTTGGACAAACATGCGTTTATTCAAATTCGACTATAATTATTTAGTGTATTAAATTATAGTCTCTTTGGGTGCCACATTTTGTATATAATTCCGCTGCATTTGGTACCTTCTGGACTACTTGATTATTTTAATTAGTCCATAAATTAATTGTTGTTGTTATAGTTTTCATATGTATTGGACATACATAATTTATTTTCAGGTGAATTTAATTAGCAATAATTAATAAAATATTTTATGAATTGATTGAAATAGTCATGTTGCCAAAGCAGCATCTGCTGTGTAAATCAGTTTATTTATATAGTAGAAGGTTGTGTGTGAGATTTAAAAGGCTGCTGATTGACCCAAAAGCAACTCAGCCACTAAGTAGTTACATGCATGTTTAGTGATATTGAATGTGGTGATAATAATTTGATTATTTGTGTGTGAATAATAGATCTGTCCAAAGATAGGGTGTTGTTCGACACACTACTTTATTGTCAACATTCGATTGTCAAAACAAGTTTATCATTAGTGAGTCAGTAATTTGTCCAAAGATAATTGCTGATGTTGCTCGATAACTTGTGATATGACTGCTAATTTATTTTATGAATTCACATATGGAACATTCAATTGCTTATACACATGTGCATTCAGTTGCTTATACATATTCTTCATTTCTATGGAATCAGACTCGTATGCATTGAACGCAACTTTGATTCTAGTTTAAAAAAATTATAAATTCATTAATAATGTTTGTTGCGTGTTGACGGTGAAAATCAAGTATTTGACGTAAGTGTTTATGTGTATTTTAATTTATGTGATTATTCTTCGGCCCAAAGGCAGTCGGTAATTGACAGAATGAAATATACATCTGCGATAGTTTGTATGAGAAGATTATATGGATTTAACTTATGTGAATAGTAAATCAGTCCAAAGATTGGTTGCTGTTTGACATTACTTATTGTCCATATATGATTATTGCAACAAGATGACTACTAGCAATCAATGTTATTGATCCAAAGATTGATCATTGATGTTGCATTTAGTATCTTGGGATGAAAAAATAGTATTATTGAGCTTCATTATGATTCATTTGGTTGCATTAAGAATAGACCAACCCACTCATACGGAGAAAAGCACTGCAGATGAAAAACAGTTATTCGAGAAGTCTGGTAGGTCCAATGCTTAAGTCTGATGATCATTAAGAAAAACACTCCATAAAATTTTGGAGTATGATATATGATGATATGGATTCCTTGTCGAAATTAAGAAACTTTTTACCAAAAGCGATAAGGCGGAAAATGAGTATTCTTCTTAAGAGTTTCATTACCATGAAATTAACGACATAGGAAACATAAAGGAGGACGTCCTGAACATGTCTAATATTGCTACTAAATTGAGGGCACTTAAGTTAGACTTTTCGGAGGACATGTTTGTCCTATTAGTCTTGCTCTTGAAATTAATTTAATTTAAGTTCATAGACACACCTGGGGGTGGATTTTGGAGTAACAACTCACATCAATGTGTCTATGCAAGATTATTTCTATTTCCGAAAATCAATTGATGGTGAAAGATACATCTATATGGGTGACGGCAAGAAGGTTAAAGTTTAAGTCATGGAAAATTTTAGATTATTATTGAGTACTCGTTACTATTTGAATTTGGATGAGACATTTTTCATGGTACCATATTTAGTCGAAATTTAATTTCAATCTCTATTTTGAACAAATTTGGTTATCATTGTTCATTCAGATATAAAGTTTTAGTCTCTTTCAGAATTCAAAATTGGTTGAAACTAGTACATTATTTGATGATAATAATCGTCATATGCTTAATAGTCTGACTTCATATCATGAATTATTTATTGAACATATTCATATAACTTCCATGATTGCGGATCCGCTTAATTGCTAAAGGGTTTCCACATAAGGTCTAAAGTGAGCATGTTGCTCGTTTGATAGTGGAACCATATTTCGATACTTCGGTTTAGTGGGAGCCGATTAGTAATGTTCAAATACTATTAAAGTTACATTGGTTTACACCACACAGTTCAGTATTCAATGTTCAATATTCAGTGTGCAATATTTAGTTTTAATTCAGTATTCGGTTGTTCTAAATTAAAGTTAAGGTGGATCAGTTGGAAATAAGCATGTTAATATCACATTACATGAAATTTCCATGTTGTGCATCCGCACTTGATCGAATCTTAGGTTATATTAGTGTTGTGACCATTGTTCGGTCCCATTGTGATAAATGCAGTGACGGCTGCCTTGATCACATCTAATAACTACATTATTAAACAAATTTAAGACTTCCATATAGTAAAAATTGAAAGTAAACAAATTATTATATTTTAATAATTTTATGTATTAAAAATTAATATTCAAGAGTATTATCCACCTGCAAAGCAAAGATGTTATTTGAAATTTTGTAATAAATTAACAAATAATAATATTTTATTAACTATGAAACTGTGCAAGATAATTTTGATCTTTTTGCTCTTTATACTCTATGTATAAATTGAATGTTTGTGTAATGATATATTTATAATTTACATAAAAGTTAAATAATATTTTGATAGCGTGAGATTAATTTTACTATAATAGAAAATAAATGCGTTTGAGTGTAATGGACAAAAATGGCAAAAAAAAAAAAAAATTACTTTGTATTGTGACAAAAAAAATATCAATTTTTTACGTGAATATGTTGACGAACTAAACATATACTACTAGAAAATTGAGCTAAAATAAGTATATATTTAATAAATATATATTTTATAATATTATATTTAATAAAATAAAGATCACTTAATGAGGCTAGTTGAGCCAACCACGAACAATAAAAAAAAAAAGCAAAAAATGTAACTAGCCGAACTGGTCTTGCCAGAGTATTTTTGAGACAATTTATTGTAACAATATTTACTCATCAATCTAACAAGACAATTCGTTTCAGCATTATGTGACTTTCCAAATTGTCACTATCAAACGACCATAGAAAAAGTTTCAAACTAATTGCAAGAATATTCAACAAATTATCTCGTAATGGCTGCGGGTTCCCACGTCATCCAAAAAAATTGTGACAACAAAACTTTCAACCTGTAAAAATTTTCAGCGAATCGGGTACAGTTGTACAACACAAATTTCCGGCGAATCAGGCGCGCTGTATAGCGGGATTCTCCGACCACTAACTAAATTGCCGCACTGTTGTCGCTTCTGATTCAGTTCCCTATAACTTTTTCGGCGAGAATTCAAATAGTTTAGGAAAACAAAAGTATTTTAAACGCGGGCATGTTCTTCGATAAACATGGCTATGTTTGAACCTTTTGTCGCTGATTGTTTGAACACCACGCCAGTGTTCATTTCAAATTAAATGCCACGTCATTTTTTTCGGTTTGGATGTAAAACAAGGTAATCCCTTTTTTTATAGGACTAATCTTGATCGATATTTTATTGATTCACATGATCATCATTTTGGTTGTTTGTGAACTAGGAACGGGTAATGGTTGTTTGTGAACTAGGAACGGGTAATGGTGTTTGTTACTTTTATCCTGTATTTATCTCGTTGGCAAAATATATTCTAAATGTTTATAAACATCGCTATTTCTATCATTTGGCTGAGATATATTTTTGCAATTTTCTCCAAATTCTTTTATACCGGAAATAATCGAATAATTTAAAATAATATTTGAATTAGCCATTTGTGACTATCATTACATATCGCGTGCATTGGGTGGGACATAGAGCTTATGATTTCTTTGCTTTTGTCTTTGCCTTTTCTTTCATTTCTAAACATTTCCGTGCTGAAAATATCGGGAATTTTGAATGAAGTGTAATGAATATTATTGTTTTAAAAAGAAGTTGTAATTCCTCCCTATTTCGAGTTAAATCAAATTTTAACATTGAAATAATTCAATAATGCATCCAACATTGAGTTTAAAATCGAGATTACATGTTATACCTCCGGAGTCGAGTTGAATTTAAGAAAGTTTGATTAGATTATTTATGTCAACGAATCCACTTGAAAGAACTTTTAAAGTTAAATATTTGATCTACTTGGAAAGCTTCCAAGGGTGTGAGGGATATGCATCATTAATTATTATATAGTCAACCAAAGTTTTCCGGACATAGAATTTTATGATTCTCAAATCACTATATAAATAAAACAACGTTCCAAAATCCAAGACCAACAACTTCAATGGACTATTGATGCTTAGAATAAACATATTGAATATCTTCTCCACTGCATTCCCCGAATTCTGATCATTCTTTGGGCCTTGCACAGTCATTTATAGTGCCCTGTTCTGTAGTAGTTCCAACATTCCATCCGACTTGCGTCCTTTTTGCCCTTATTTTTCAGCCTTGATTTCAACCTTTCCCGATCTTGACATTTTTTCTTTGCCTCAGATTTATCTTTATTTTTAGTACTTATGGCAAATATGGATCCATCTCCAATATTTAAACCCGAATTTCTTCTAATCTTCTCGTTCAAGATTAAGTCCTTGATTGCATCAAATATTACTTCTTTTTCCTTGGATGATGCACGAACGGCTGTTACTATCGAATCCAAACTTTTTGGAAAACACGACAATAAGATTATGGCTTAGAGCTCCATGTCAAATTCAATATTCACCGACGCCAACTATAAGGTTATCAGGTTGAATTCGTTCATTAGTGTAGCAATAGGAGTACCTTTAGGTTGGATAATTTTCGCATCAGGTAAACTTTGTTTGCGCCAGAGGATTGCACGTACATATCTGACATGATCCTCGTAACTTCTCTTTTTGAATCGGCCGAATTTATGGACTGCAGCACGATCACTAATCTTGGCTTCAAATCAAATGAAGCATAGAGCTTTAATACCAGTTGTTGAGAAAATTGAATCACTAAAATAAAAAAGTTCGATAAGAATAATCTGTCAAACAAGATATTTTTACTAGTATTTTTTTGGTGTATCATATATAGAAAATAAACTAAGTATATATAGATATAGAAAATAAAACCCTAAGCAAAACGCAGTCAAGAGGCTAGACGTGCGACTCCAACTTTGACTTCACAACATAACAACATCAAATATTACATTTTTATAATTTTTAATATCCTCCAAAACTTCAAACTTATGTGATCCTTTAAAGGTTGATTGTAGTCTAGCAATATTCATTGCTTTTTCCTCTTAAATTCTAGCATTAAACACTTATTTTTTATTTAACATATTTTAAATATAAAAATTTTAAAATTTCATTCAAGCATTACATCATATACTATTTTAATTAAAAATTTTACTATGTTTGAATTCGTTTTAAATTACATACCAAAAATATGGATCCTTTCCCGTTTCTCATTTACAACTTTTATTCGATAAATAACCTTTTCGAAATTGCAGTGAGGATTCGAAAAATGATTACTCTGCCACTCTCTTTAGCCCCACCCACTAATTTCATGATTCGGACAGCCACAATGCTACTTTCAAACAAAGATAATTCAATTGGCAAATTCCTCGTGTTTTTGGCCCTCATAAGTTTCAATCATAAATTTTAACGAACTCAAACGATCGATCGTCTCAAATCTGAAGCTGTATTCGGAATGTCGAAGGTTGAACTGATGCCGTCTTGTCGGGTTCGGATGGCCGGCGCCCGCGCTGCCGCCGGCCGCCTCAGACCTCCGGCGATGCCAACAACATTGGAGCTACCTCCATGGGATCTCCTCCACCTCCGGCGCGACCCTATTCGAAGAGGCCTTCTATTCTACAACGACCCTCAACGACGAGGAGAGTTCAAATTCATCGTCGATCGCCTCAAGAATTCGCTCGCTCGGACGCTCGACTTCTTCCCTCCGCTCTCGGGTCGCCTTGGCTTCGTTACGCATGACGACGGCACCTCGTCTTACTTCATCGATTGCAACGATGCGGGAGCTGAGTTTGCTCATGCCGTTGCGCGTGGAGTTTCGGTGTCCGATGTCGTCGAGCACAAGTACGTGCCGGAGATAGTGTCGTCTTTCTTCCCGATGAAAGAAACTCCAAACTACGACGAGACGTGGAAGCCCTTGTTGGCGGCGCAAGTGACCGAGCTTGACGATGGCTTCTTCGTCGGCTGCACCGTTAATCACGTCGTCGCAGATGGGGCATCTTTCTGGCACTTCTTCAAATCCTGGTCCGAGATGGCGCGCGGCTTTGACACGATATCGAAGGTTCCTATTTTCGATCGATGGTTCCCGAGCAATGTTACAGATGAAAATCGTCGGATTCATCTCCCACCGTTGGATCAAAATCCAATGGTCAACACATCGCCGCCCCCACCGTTGCTCGAAAGGGTTTTTCACTTCAGTAAAGATAGTTTAGCCAAGCTAAAAAACATAGTGAACTTGAAATTTAAAGACTGCGGAGAAACCTCCACATTTCAAGCTCTATCAGCTCATCTATGGCGAAGCGTCGCGCGCTCCCGACTTTCAAGGAGTAGTAAAAATTCGGAAGAGCCGCAATGCTTTATTCTATTAGTCGACGCGAGATCAAGAGTGCCCTTACCGGACGGCTATTTTGGCAACGCGGTTCATTCCGCGAGGATTGAGGTTACCGAGCATGAACTTCTAGAAAACGGGCTAGAGTTTGTTGCCATGAAGATCAACGAACTTGTAGGTCGACAAACGAGGGAAGCCGTGGTCAAGTATGTCGAAGATTGGGTCGAGACGCCGGTGATTAAAAGGAAGGGGGCGGCGAACTTTCTCATTGTTGGTTCGCCGCGCTTTGATGTGTACGGTTGCGATTTTGGATGGGGAAAACCGGTTGCTTCGAGGAGTGGCGGAAGGCGAAAGTTCGATGGGAAGGTGACGGTTCTTCCGGCGGCTCAAAGTGGCGGCATTGATGTGGAAGTTTGCTTGTCGCCGGAGGCATTGATGGCCATGGACGATGATCTTGAGTTCATGGAAGCGGTAACTGTTTAAATATGGATCATACATGGAGCTGGCAAAAATAGACACGATTTAAAAATTCTATATGAATTCGGCATGAAAAAATTGTGCCTAGACTTAAAAAATTGGCCCAAAAAAATTTGGGCCGTGCCTGATCCACTACGAGTATAAACAGGGTTGTGTCGGAGCCGATCAAGGTCCGGCCAACTAAGGTGGGACTGAAGAAGTATTTTACATATATATATATATATAAATAGTACTTGCTTCGTCACGTAAAATTATGTGTATTTAGTTGGAAATAGAGACTAAAAAATATGGATATTTTCGCATCTCAATATATAATTATTTGTATAGTATAATAATTATATTTATTAATATACTTTTTAATTATTTTCTAATAATATACTTGTCTAAATTCTCATATTTATAGAAAACTGGACAACTAAAATAGAATGGAGGAAGTATTTTCTTTTTATTTAAAAATTGTACTCCCCTCGTCCCATCAAATTATGTACATTAGTTGGAAATGAAAACCAATTTTTTTTTTTTTATATATTTTAACATAAAAGTGATATAGATATAAAGTAAAATGAATGTATTATAAAAAATTTATTAAAATTTGATTAAAAATTTATGGATAAGTAAAAAAATAGTACAAATTAATTATTGTTTGTTAAAGTAAATATAATAAATTGTAGGTAGATATAATTCTTTATTATAAATAGATTATACATAAAAAAAAAAAAAAAATCAAATAAGGAGAAATAAGTAAGAAAATGATTTTTTTTTGGTTCTCTTTTTTTAATAGTGTTTCATAAGTAATACTCTCTTGTTTTTAGGTGTTTATTAGATCTATTTAGTATAGTAATAGATTAACCCCAAATTGTTGGAATAACATCTAATCTAAAAGGTAAATTATAGATTTAAACACAAACATATATATATATATACACACACACGGACAGAACCAGCCATAAAATTTTGGGTGCAAAATGTCAGTTCATTTTTTTTCGATTCAATATATATAATTTTTTTTGGTGCAACCCGGTTGTGAATAGAAATTTTGTTAAGTTATTTTGATATATGGATAAGTGGTGTCTTAATTCCTGCATAAAAAACTTTCTATTTTAAGCAAACAATGGTTGCAGGGTGACATATATTGCAACCGTGCCCCAGCCGAGGTAGGTGGATTTGGCCTTATCCAATTTGTCCATTCCTTAAATGTTTACAAAAGAAAAAATGTATATTCGAGAAAATGTCAAATCATGGAAACTCACTCTTTTTATTTTGGTGTAAAAGAAAATTAATATGAAATTTTTTATTCCAAGAATGTGAGTGATTTACTCAACCGTACAAGAAAAATAGAGTTGGTGGTGAGTATAGTTGAAAGTAAATTTTAGAAAAACAAAAAAAAAAATTGAGTGAAGCTCTCATCATCTATCCATATCGTTTCTCCTCGATTTTGAATGGCTGTTTGATACAAAAATTCACCGGAGTTGATCAGAGATAGGAGATAAAAGGGGTTTCAACCGGAGAGGATGATCATGCTCTGACCAGCTCGGCTATATGGTCGTTGTCAGTACATGTTTGTGACAACGTTAACCTGTGAATGTATTTTTCAAGGTAAACTATGATAAGAGTATGGGTTGACGAAGTTGTGATTGTTTATGTTCTATAATCAGTATTGATTAGTAGAATCTCTCCTGGATTGGTATCCCTCGGATGTAGATTGGTTGATAATCGAACCGGGTCAACAAATACCTTGTCTTATTTGTTGTTTTGAGTTTTGCATTTTATTTGTCGTCAAGGTGTTGTTTTATCTGTGAACTAACCACGCTTCGTGAGTTGACCATATTTTAAGTGTTCGAAGGTGATTTGTTCAATCCTTCACTTCCCAAAATTTTTATCCAAGTCGTAGTGACTTGCACTTCATGGACATCCTAGAAAAACATTTTCTTTACATATCATAATTTCGCTAAAAATATCAGGTATAGTCACAATTTTGCCAAAATTATCCTGTACATGTGTCATTCAATGGCAGCCGTGCGTGGATTTGGCAGTCAGTGAAACTCACACGCGGTCAATATACTGAAATAACAAAAATATGACACTTACATAATATATTTTGAGTACGGAATACGATGAAGTGAAAGCAAAAGAAACAACTAAGATCGAATAGGGGGTAAGTTTGAATAAAAATTCAATTTCTTTCCCAATTCACTAAACACTACAAAATAATAATAATAATAATAATAATAATAATAATAATAATAATATATTTGTAACAAAAATTAGGGACCGATGGCGTTAGCTATGGAAATTTTAGGGATAAAATTCCCCAAATTTCATTACTAACTAATATAATAAATTTATGGAAAAAAATATATAAAAATATTATTTTCTTATAGTGTAAAATCCGGTTTAAAAATAGGTCGATCTATATATTGAAGAAGAACAACGATGATGATGAAGTTCCGACCATTTTACCTATTTATTTTTTTTATTTATTTGAATTTTGTAACGGAATCTCATATAAAAAGCTATTATTATACTCCCTCCGTGGAAAATAACCCATTTTGGTTAGAAACAAAGTTATTTAGTTAGTGTAGATTAATAAATTTATAATAGTAAATCATGATATTATTATTATTATTATTATTTTGTATGAGTGGTATTATTGATATTTTAAAAATATGTATTAATATATATAATTAAATTTTTTTAGAATATATGTTTAAATATCTTTAGTATTATATTTCAAAAAAATATTCAATATTTATATCATTTTGTAGATAATAAAAATTTATATAATACAAGTAACATATATTTATGGGTAAACTGTTTTTTTAGTCTTGTATGTGACCAATTTTATCATTTTAGGACTTTAAGTGAATTTTGTTCGAAAATAGTCCCGTAAGTAAAAAATTTTTGCTAAAATGGTCCTCCGATGCCGGACTTGCCACGCTAGCCCGTTGTTGTTGTGGCACTAACCCGGCTGACATGTCATCGCCATGTAGATGTCACGTCAGCGACACATGGAATTTTTTTATTTTTTACTTTACAAAATGTCTTGGTAAATTATTTTTTTAGTCCGTATATGACCTCCTTTATCATTTTTAGGACATTTGAGTAGAATCTGTTTCAAAATAGTCATGCAAGTTTTAGCTAAAATGGTCCTCCAACGTGGCATCTACGAGGCGATGACATGTCAGCCGCGTAAGTGCTACGTTAGCAACGGTTGCCAGCGTGACGAGTCCGGCACCGGATGACCATTTTAGCGAAATTTTGTTTACTTACGAGACTATTTCAGACAGGGTCACTTAAAGTTCTAAAATGATAAAGGGTGTTAGATACGAGACTAAAAAAGTAATTTACCCTATATTTATTTATTTGTAATTAACTTAACTAATATTTATAAAAAAAATAAAAAATTTTAAATATAGATAAAAATATTTATTTATTAAAGAGAGAGATAAACATAAATGAGTTTTAAATAAGTCCTATATATAAGAAGTTATACATTTAATTGAATTTATTTATATTTTTTAAATATGTTTAAGATGAATAAATTTATTAAAAATAAAAATGGATCATCTCTGACGAGAGAGAAAAAACCGAAAAAGAAGTCATCAATACCGGGACAGATAGAGTACAATATTTACTTAAAGAATCAAAATGAAAACCTCTCTTCTATCCACTCAAAATGAAATTGTTGCTGAGGACGCGGTCCAGTGGGGCCTTGCACCTGCCCTTTTTGGAATTGCTGGAATTGAGGGGCATTTCTGCCAGCCATATAAAAGACCTCCGCCGGGTTTTGAGCTTCATCATTTGAGCACTCAGCAACCTGCGGACCTTGTTGGTCTTCATAAGCTCTTTCCTCATATTCCGCGGCCTCTTGCAGCGCCTGTTTTCCTTTATTACGCAGGTCCTGCTTCATAAGCTTAGACAGCTCCTTAAGTTGGACCGACAGACTATCGATCCTTGGGTCGTGAGATACGGAAGCAGGGACCTGATATAGACCCCTCGATGGCTCGGGCCTGTTGGACTCTAGCCAACTTGACTGATTGGACGCCATTTTCTCTATCAAAGCCCTCGCTTCAGAGGCACAGCGCCCCATCAACGAGCTTCCTGCCGCTGCATCTAAGGACATTCTGAGTTCAGGAGTAATTCCTGAGTAGAAAATCTGAAGCTCCATGAAGTCCGGAATTTCATGATGAGGGCAGTTGCGGAGCAATTGTTTGAATCGGCTCCAGGCTTTGGGAAGAGTCTCATCACTCGCCATCTTGAAAGTAAGTATTTCATTCCTCTGGCGAATGGTTTTTGAAACAGGATGATATTTGCTCACGAAGGCCTGCGCTGCTTCCTTGAATGAGCCAGGAATGGGATAAAGATTATCAAACCATTTCCTGGCCTCTCTTGTTAAAGAAAAGGGAAACAGAATCAGTTTGGCAGTGTCCTCCGTGATGCCGTGCGATTTGGAGGTGGCAGCGGTCCTATTGAAGTTCTGTAGGTGCTCGTACGGGCTTTCATTGAGCAGCCCATGAAATTGACTCTGGCTCGCCAGGCTAACGAGCGCTGGTTTCACCTCATAATGGCCAGAGCTTCTAGGCGCAGAACTTGTAATTAAAGTGTGATCCAGAAGGGACTGGTAGTGAACGTCCATAGGGACTTCAGCAAGCGGGCGATTAGCAGCCCTGTGTCCCTCAGCCCTCTGGTAAGGCTCAGCAGTAGGTGGTGGAGGAGTGATGGTTGCGGGCATCGCAGGGATGTTGGCATCTTGTGCCGTTTGGGAAGTGATAAATTCTCCCTGCGCAGCTTGAGCTTGTTCCACCTAAGCAAGGTGCGCTTGCAGCCCTGCCATTCCTTGTTGGATGCTATTGAGGGCTCTCAATAGATGCTCCTCAGTCTGTGAAAGTGCAGGAGGAATGACAGCAGGGACCACAGTGGGGACGTGGAGCGGCACCTCCTGCGAAGATGCAGATGTGGCGGAGTTTGAAGATGTCCCAGCGGCAGTCTGGAAAGCTGGGATGACAGTAGAAGGAACGGTGGCATTTCCTTGATT